TTTTTTTACGTGTGTGTGTGTGTGGGGGGGGGGAGTTGGGTGGGGCAGAGGCGTAGCGAGAGTGTTTGGCGCCCGGGGACAAGATTCGCGCCCGGGACAAGATCCATTTTAAAGCGCCCCTTTTTCTTTTTTTCAACTCTCAAACCCATTATTTTCATCAATAAAATAATATCAAAGCACATTTTGACGCCCCTAACTAGCTGGCGCCCCCTGCCCCTCTCGCTACGCCTCTGAGGTGGGGGGGGGGGGAAATCCTGACCATCTATCTCCATGCGGCACGAAACTTTGCTACGCCACTCACTGTTCTTGGGGCTGAGTAGATATTAGGGCTGCATCACCCACAGTGAGTATTGGCATGTCAGTCACCTTGTGATTACAAGTGGCCGTAGCTAGAACACAGACGATTACCGGAGTCGTCCTATGATGAGGTCAACCAACTTGTGATCAGCAACAACAAAAAATAAACAGAGACACTTAGGGGAAAAATTTAAACTCTAATCGCTGCAATATCGCCGGGGAAAAAAGGGGGGGGGGGGGCAGTTTTAAAAGTAAGCAAATCAATTCACGTATGGCCTTGCATGACCGTGTATGACCTTCGGCTTCGAACTCAAGGTCATAAGAAAAACCAGCGTCAATCGATGTGTGGATAGTTAGCTCAAGAGCACCATTACGCACCTGTGTTGTGGCGGGTAATTAACTGGCTGGCACGGGAAACATCAAATCATCAAATTGTTTTTAATAATAAAGTGACTTTGAATGAAGTCGGTGACAGTAACTCTGAGTAACAACTTAATGAAAGGCGTACGGCTTGGCTTTATGGCTGAAAAAGTTGATGGTAGGATGGATTGTATTTGTCATTGCCATGAGAGCGGAAAGGGAATCTAGGTTGAATGGAATTACTTGTTACAAGAGGTGTTGAGGGATGGCTGTAATTAATTGTTACATGAGGTGCTGGGGTTGAGTCTAATTAATTGTTACTTGAGGTGTTGGGGCTGAGAATAATTAATTGTTACAAGAGATGTTGGGGCTGAGAATAATTAATTGTTACAAGAGATGTTGGGGCTGAGAATAATTAATTGTTACAAGAGATGTTGGGGCTGAGAATAATTAATTGTTACAAGAGGTGTTGGGGCTGAGAATAATTAATTGTTACAAGAGGTGTTGGGGCTGAGTGTAATTAACTATTACAAGAGGTGTTGGGGCTGAGTGTAATTAATTGTTACAAGAGATTTTGGGGCTGGGTATAATTAATTGTTACAAGAGATGTTGGGTTGAGTGTAATTAATTATAGGAGCCAAAATGATCAATAAATTGATCGTGGGCCCTTAAGATATAGAAGAAGAAGATTAATTGTTACATGAGGGTTGGGGATGGATGTAATTAATTTTTACAATAGAAGCTGAGGTTGGGTGTAATTAAATATTACAAAAGGCGATGGGGATGGGTGCAATCAGTTGTAACAAGGGGTGCTGATTTTTTATAAGAGGGGTAAAATTGAATTTAATTGGTTAAATGGGGAACTGGTAATATTGATTAATTGTTAAAACCTGACGCTGGCTTACATACGTGTAATTTGAGTTTGTTAATGGACAGGTGAGTATCCAGGGCAAACTTCTCTGATGAAAACTGCTCTGATGGCAATCTGATGAAAACTGCTCTGGGGGCAATCTGAAGAAAACTGCTCTGGTGGTAATCTGATGAAAATTGCTCTGGTAGCAATCTGAAGAAACTGCTCTGGCGGCAATCTGATGATGAAAAGTGCTCTGGTGGCAATCTGATGAAAACTGCTCTGGTGGCGATCTGATGAAAACTGCTCTGGTAGCAATCTGAAGAAAACTGCTCTGGGGAAATCGGTCATCTTTCTGGTGACAGCAGTGCAGCCTGTTCTTGTAAAACTTTGCTCCTGTGTGCAACCCATTGGCGCCCGCAGGTAGGGGCAATGAGGGGGGGGGCACTTGCCACCCCCCCCCCCCCCCCGAAAGGACGGGAAAAAAAAAATTAAACAAAAAAAAACAAAAAAAAAAATAAAAAAAAAAAAAAAAAAAAAAAAAAAAAAAGGGGAAGGGGGGGGGGGCCCTTGCCCCCCCCCCCCCCCCAGGATTGATTGGATAAAAAAATTTTAGACAAAAATAGACAAAAAATGTATTAAAGTAAAGAGAAAATACAGAAAAAGTAACTAAGCTGATGTCCTGTCCGTTCGTTCAAAGTAAATTAGAACTATATTAAACGAATCGGGGGTGAAAAAAATTATTGTTCTCACCCAAGATACCCCCTCCACCAAAAAAAAAACACCAAAAAAACAACAACAACAAAACACACACACACACAAACGCACACACAAATAAATAAAAATGTATTTCTTAGCTAATATAGTGCAATTGGAAAAGACATAAACGCTGTTCCCATGCGTTCATGAAGGACTCGAGTCCTGGTACCGACACAAAATTTACTAACATTATCATTATGTTAATGTTGGGTTTTTGGCAACTTTTACATTACATAAAATAAAACTTTGTTCCCACGTATCAGTTTTAATGTAGACACCATAAAGAATGAAATAAATCTTCCAAAGCCAAGTGCACATTGAAGTGAAATAGTCAAAACGGGGTAATGACGTTGTTTTTTTTTTTTTTTTTTTTAAGGAGCTACCGATTCCACAAAAAAAGAACAGCTGTTCAAAAATTTGCGACATCTTTTGTTACCACCTTCTCTGGGTAGTTAGACTGGAGAAAATATATGCTTTTTAAGGTAACAATTTTTTAAACAATAAGGCTTTTATTATTGATAGATAAGAACTGTTCCTATTTTTAATAAGTGTGATGTTGCTATTTAAATTGCTTATTTGATACTCATTTTCAGTTACCATTACTACTGTCAGAAAAAGGTATAACCAAACAAACATGGCGGCGCTCACAAATCGTTTACCAGAGTTCTTGAGACAAGGTGAGGAAGGATTCATTCGGTTGGAAAATAAGGGACTTCATTGGTATAAATCGCTAGTTAATTTTTTTAAAGGCTTCAAGGAAATTTCTGTGGCTATGATTCAATTTTCAGTATTCATTAATTCTAGTGAGATAAATAGTGAGTTAGAACTGGGCAATTACATAACTTATGTCATAAGTGAAAGACTGAAGAGTTCAAAGTCCACCGCTCAGCTGTACTTTCCATTAGCCGTTAACACCTAAATTCAATTTTGAAACTAGTTATTACATTCGCTTTAATTTTTTAGGAAATATTCTTCTATGTTATTAATATAAGCCTAGTCCCTTATGTTATTTATGGGTATGTAAGTGTAGGGAAAATGAAAAAAGCAAAAGGGCAAAGGGTAACTCGCTAAAATTCGATAGCCTTCTTCAGTCATTTTAAATTAAATCAATGAAGCAATTTTATGAAAAGACATTCTTGGAGAATGGAGTAAGACTTTGTGGTTTAATTGGTAATTAAGAGTTTGATGAACTCTGAAGGAGCAGTGATGGATTGAACTATTACCAATTTTCCAATACAATTTTAACTAGTAAAATTAGGTTAGTAAAACATTAGAAGTATATATTAGGCATCATATTCATATCATAAGTTATAAACCAGGTTATCATAACTATCTAGACTAGATTCCTGCCTATATTAATCATTATATTGTTAATAGAAGTATTCTAGCCTATAACAAATTGATTTTAATATACATGTAATTACTAATTTTTAATTATATTTACAAGATGACGGAAGTAAAATCAATAAAGTTTTAGATCCTTTGTTTTTTCAAACTATTTTTAATTTTAATCTTATCATTTTCTTATCATTTCATGGTCAAAGTCCAAAAACCAAAAGATATCAATATATGGTTAACATTAACATTGAAATGGAAGTCAGATATTTAAAAAAAAAAAAACTTGTATTTGAGCGTTAAAACGAAATAAGCATCTCAATTCATTATTTTTATGTTTAATTTAATTTTTGCATAGGATCAAAATTAAAGGATATGAGTTAATATTTCATATATTTCAACCCTCTTTAAGTCAAAACAATGATTCTTAACCCTTCTAGCACGGGGCGCGTCTTTTTGCAGTGACCTATTAATTTCCTGTGACCCAAACGTGTCTTTTTGCCACTTAGAGGGGTATCTAATATAAACACAAAAAAACAAGGATATTACCTTTCACCACAGTCTTGGGCGGAATGTTTATTCGTTATGAGAATAGTCAAATTATAATTTGCCTTTTAAATTATGAAAATGGACCAATTACTGAGTTTTTGTGCAGATCTGTATTTGTTGTTTTCATGGGGCTACCTAGCGATATTGTTGATGACGACCTACACCCACTTGATGAAACCTTTTGTTCTGAAACTATTATTGAGCTGTAGAGTGATTCTGATCCTGATGAGGAAGAGGGGAATAAAATTGCTGATGAAAGTTGGGCTACTATAGCTAAAAATTTACGCCTACAGGAGCCTGTAGATTTGACAGGTTTTAAAACTAGTTCCAATGTAGATTAACTGAGTAAAAGCGGTAGGGCACTGTGCTAACCATACAATGCCATTGCCAATGAAAATCGTGAACAAAACACATTAGTATTTTAACACCCTTATCCGTTTCTGAACAGATAATTCTCTACATGTTATTATCAATTGTTTAAAATAGAAAAATTACAAAATAATTTGCTAACCTATCAAAGTTTGGCTCATTCCAAAATAATGTCTGGGGCACGGAATAATTAGCAAAATAAAAGCCGGTACTGAGGCTATACACAGGAAAAAAGTAGGTCAGTACTAGAAGGGTTAAAACTGTTCAAAATTATTAGCCCTTTACAAAAGATGAGAAACCGAAATACAACTATTAATTATTTCATGTCTTGAATTAACTTTTGTGGAAAATTTTATTTTGTATCATAGCCTGAAAAATGCATCGTTAATGTCACTGCAAAATTTGCAGAGTGCATATAAATTACTTGGCCTGCAAAGTTTGCTGGGTGTATTTAAATTACTTAACTTAGGTTCTTTAATAATCCCAGCAGATTTAGTAAACCCCTAAATAACTTTCCTTGATAATTGTCAACATTTTTTTAAAAGCAGTTCTTTAAATATATTGTCAATAATGTCAGTTATCGCTTTTTCAGTTGCACATCTTTAGATTGTCTTCCTGAAGTTTCAATTAAAAATTATATTTATACATAGGTTGTTTTTTTAAAATTGATTTAGTTGATATCAACCAAAGAATTATTTTGAAAGGTATTTATAAAAAGACATGCAAGGGGTGGGCAATATTACTTTTATTCTCATGGCATTTTGTCACCAAATTAGACACCTATGTAAGAAAATAATGCATATTTACAGATTTCTAATACTTTGTTTAGGAGCATATTTTCTGCGCTGTCATAGGTTATTAGCAACAGATGTGCCAAAAATAACAACTCATTATACTATTCATCCAAGAGATAAAGATCCAAGATGGAAAGGTAAGCAATTAATATTAAAAGATTGTTGAAATACTATTTTTAACATTGTAACATTCAGACACCAATGTAGCTTCAGACATTCATATTACTGTATCGATACGTCATTGTAATTTTTCTTCTTCTCATTGGCTGCAGTTTTATATATATTATTTTCATATATACCACCACTAGCTCAAATAAGATGTCAAGGCCTTCACACACATCAGTCTATTACTTCAAGTAACTTGACATATAAATGTATATTACAGCTCTAATCAGCAGAATCAATGGGAAATAAAAAATCAGTAATAATCAAATCATATGTGTCTCCAGATAATAGATTCATACAAAACCCTTCTTTGAACATTCTAAGATCACTCCCTAATTTTACATGCTAGCCAATATGGCTGACGCTATAGTCCAATTCTTTTTTAATTCATTATCTGTATTAATCCACCTTGTTATTTTCTGATTTATGGGTGAGTTTTACTCTATGGTAAACAACCACTTAATGTCATGATGTTACAAACTAGAGACCGACCGAATTTCGGCTTCGGTTTCGGCGCCGAAAGTGGCCATTTTATCACTTTCGGCCAAGTTTTGGTTTCGGCCTAAACTGAAAAGTTAACTTTCTGCTTAATTTCGGTTTCGACCGAAAGAGAAAAGTTAACTGTCGGTTTTTCTTCGGTTTCGGCCAAAATTGACTTAGACTTTCGGCCATCCTGCCGAAAGTGACTCAGGTTTTCGGTCATTTAATACTCGGCGAAAGCGATATTTAACAACAAATTAAGCGTCATTTAAGAACAAATTTAGCGATCTTTGAGAACAAACAAAACGATATTTAACAACAAACTAAGCGACATTTAAGAACAAACTAAACTATCTTTAAAACAATCTAAGCTATCTTTAATAACAAACTAAACGATCTTAAAGAACAAACTAAACGATGTTTAAGATCAAACTAAATGATCTTTAAGAAAAAAACAAATGATATTTAATAGTAAACTAAATAATTTATAAGAATAAACTAAGGGATCTCTAACAGAAAATTAAATGTTCTTTAGGAACAAACTAAAAGATCTTTAAGAACAAAAAAGTAATCGATCTTAAAGAACAAAAACAATTATTTGAGAACAAACTAAGCGATATTTATGAAAAAACTAAGCGATCTTTAACAACAAACTAAGTGATCTTTATGAACAAACTAAACGATCTTTAAGAACAAACTAACCAATCAATAACAACCAACTAAACGATCTTTAAAAACACATTAAGCGATCTTTTAGAACCACAATTTTTAGTGACCCGGTTTAAAAAAATAATATTTGCATTAATCCCCCCGCCCCCCCCCCCCCAATTTTTTCCAAATTTTCTCCTACCATACTAATTTTTTTTTAAATTGTAAAGCAATTTAAATTACTTTTATCTTAAAATGGTAAAATCCAAAGTATTCATTAGATCAAGGGTCCCAAACTAAAATCATCAGAGGGGGGGGGGGGCGCAGGAGGTAGTGTCTGAATGAGAGTGGGCCGCATCAAGTAATCCACAAAAAAGCGATTACAACTGTTACAATCTGCTCAACCTTTATAAATAACAATAGAATCATTAAGGGTTCTCAAGAACTAGGATTCACTTTCATCCGCCTACTCACTATTGCATACAAAAATATATAAAAAATAATCAGAATTAGACAGTTGATGTGATTCGACTGAAACCGTCGCGGAGAGTCACGTTATAGATAAGAGAATGGGGGAAACAGGCCGGCACATTACACTAAACTTTTCTGTCATGTAGCGGGCCGAAAAATATTGTCTTGCGGGTCACAAATGGCTTGCGGGCCGCGAGCTTGAGACCCCTATTTTAGATGTTTATCTATTAATATTCACGATTATCTCATTTTTTAATATAAAGAATGTAAATATTTATACTTTCCCACATCATTTTCGATGTATGCGGGAAGGAATTTCAAAATATCTTAATGCTTCGGTTTCGGACGAAATTCATTTTTAATTTTCGGCCTTTTTTCGGTTTCGGCCAGCGTCATTTTTAAACCTTCGGCCTTTTTTCGGTTTTGGCCGAAAGTCATTTTAAACTTTCGGCCCATTTTCGGCTTTGGCCGAAATCAGAAAATCACTTTCGGTCGGTCTCTATTACAAACATTGTCTCTTTGTTTGCTATCTGCTATATTTTTTAGTCATCATAATTAGCAGTTTATTGAAACCACATTGTCATTTAGATTTTTTTTTTTTTGTTAAATGTAACTCAGTTAATTGTTTTTTTTATTGCCCTTTATTTAAATTAAATTTCAGTCTTCTTCTACATAACAAACTATTTGTCATTTTAAACAATTGCACATCCTTAGTTAATATATATCTTGTGGAAATACATGCATTGCTCATGAGTTGCAAATCGTTAGAGTCTTTTTAAACTTATGTCTTGTGAACAGGGTCAGTGGCTTTCAGATTTGTTGCATTTATATTATTTTTGTTCATTGTTAAAATATTAACAGTGTTAATTATCATTTTCACTTTCACTTCCTTATTCATTGATGTTGATTTGAACTGGTGTAACTTTTTTATTTTAATTTTTTTAAAGACATGTTATGATTATACCCAATACAGATACAAATATGGAAAGATTTACAGATGCTGTAGATGTTGTTATAGTTGGCGGAGGTCCTTCAGGCCTCACTGCTGCCATTAAACTCAAACAACTTGCAAGTGCCAATGGGAAGGAGATCAGAGTGTGTGTGGTAGAAAAAGCTTCTGAGATGGGTGAGCCATACTTGTCCCTTAGTAGCTAGGTCCTGGAGGAGGGTATTTGATCGAAAAAGAGATTCATTCAAAACAACATTGTTTATATTAAGTTGGAATTACATTTATATGACATTTTTATTGAGACCTTGTCAATAGAGCACTGACTGCCATTTGAGCATTTGAACTTCACATCTAACCATGAGTCACATTGGAGAGTCTTGGTACTATGAAGTAAAAAAACGTTTTACTGAAGAGAGTTCGATTGAGTGTTAAATTACTTTGTTTGTCAACTATTGTTTGATGTTACAGGTGGACATACTATATCTGGAGCGTGTCTTGAACCTAGGACTCTTAATGAACTGTTCCCAAACTGGAAAGAGATGGGGGTCAGGTTAAACATATTCTTTTAGATGTTTTTTTAAAAAATGTTTTCCTTATTTTTTTAAAGTGATTAATCATTTAATTATATTATGTGAACCTTGAAGGATCTTGCACATATTTAATTTATTTTCTTTAAAAGATAATGGGATTTATGTATGTTGTCATTATTAATTCTTCAATACTTTTCAGGCACCCATTACACAAGAAGTTACATCTGACAAATTTTATTTTTTAACCAAACGTTCAAGAATTCCAGTTCCAATTTTACCAGGTTAGTTTTGTGTTTTTTCCTCAATGCTATAATCTACATCAATATAATTTTATCTTCAATTGCAGGAGGGTTGAATAAATTTACAGCTTTTCTGAAACCATTTAGTTTTCACTTGCCCACTGAAAAATCGGTCATACAGTGCAACTGATTGTTCTGAAAGCTAATTTTATTTTTTTAAACATTTTGTCTAAACTTGTCCAGCATTTATTACTTCTTAGTAACCTAATGTGAGCACACTGCACTTATTGTGTTACATATACCTTACACTTTAAAAAAGAATAAGAAAATGTATGTATTTCTCTCTCTAAGACATCAAACGTATTTGACACCATGCTTCACATTTTTGGGGGGATATATTTACTTGTCCATAGGTATGCCCATCCAGAATCATGGCAACTATATCATACGTCTGGGCAAGTATGTGGGGTGGCTGGCTCAGCAGGCAGAGAGTCTGGGAGTGGAGTTATACCCAGGGACTGCAGCAAGTGAAGTAAGAGTGTCTTTAAACAGCCATATCCTTCTAATACAAAGCTGGATGATTTTAACATCTTTGTCTCAAGCTCATTAAATAATTATCATTTCAATTTTAATTAAAACAAGTCAACCTAAATACATTTCTTCATGCTTTATTTAAACATTCATTTATCGTTTTGGTTTTTTTTTCTGGTTTTTTTAAATTGATTACCAATAAATTCAAGAAGAATTTGGGATGAAGCAGTATTTCGAATGCTCTAATCAAGGTTCTATACCATGACGATGGCAGTGTGAAGGGAATAGCTACTAATGATGTAGGGATAGCCAAGGACGGTTCCCCAAAAGTAAGTGTGCCCTGGTTTTATATATAAGACAAAAAAAATAATAAAAATGAAATATTGGTGACCTACTTTAGCAAATTTTCAGCCCACTTTTAAGGATTGAATTATTTTTTAAAACACAGTCTGTTATATAACATCTAATTTAAAATATAAAATCTTTTTTTGCTTTATTTCTTTGAGGATTCCTTTCAAAGAGGTATGGAGCTGCATGCCAAGGTGACCATGTTTGGAGAAGGTTGCCATGGGCACCTGTCTAAAACATTGTTCAAACAGTTCAACCTGCGCCAGAACTGTGCCCCCCAAACTTATGGTATAGGTTTGAAGGAGCTCTGGGAGGTTGACCCAGCCTTGCACAAACCTGGCAGGGTAGAGCACTCTGTTGGATGGCCTTTTGTAAGTTTTTGAAGTACATGTATCTGTTTCCCACCTCTTCACAGATTGTGTATGGAAATATATTTTTGAATATGCAGACTATTTGTTATACCAAGGCTATTTTATATTGGGTTTTTAGATTGAAATGGAATAATAATTTCTTTTCTGTAAATATTATTTCCCGCCATGTTTTATTGTATAAAAGTTATGCCATTTCAGGACAAAGACACATATGGTGGATCTTTTCTCTACCACTTGAAAGATGATGGAGCACCTTTGGTATCTGTTGGCATAGTTGTAAGTTGTAAGACAGGTGTAATATTTTGATTGTTTGATGATACAGTTCGGACTTCTTGTGCTTTTTTTTTTTTTTTTCAAAAGTAAATTAATTATTTTTGAAAACGACCTGCTTGATAGAAGATGCAATTACGTGACACTTCTTTTTCTGTAGGTTGGTTTAAACTACTCTAATCCATATCTGAGTCCTTTCTTGGAGCTGCAGAGATTCAAAACCCATCCTAGCAACCAAAAATTATTTCAAACCATTTTGATTGTTTGATGATACAGTTCGGACTTCTTGTGCTTTTTTTTTTTTTTTTTCAAAAGTAAATTAATTATTTTTCAAAAAGACCTGCTTGATAGAAGATGCAATTACGTGACACTTCTTTTTCTGTAGGTTGGTTTAGACTACTCTAATCCATATCTGAGTCCTTTCTTGGAGCTGCAGAGATTCAAAACTCATCCTAGCAACATAAAATTATTTCAAACCGGCAAAAGAATAGGCTACGGGGCCAGGGCCCTCAACGAAGGTGGTTACCAGGTAATGCTTTACAGTTTCTTTCTAACCTACAGTGTCAAGCACACTTGGTTCCATCATTTTATACCGGTGCTCACCTGGAGGATTCTGTGAGTTGTTAAAGTAGGTTATCAGGACTGTTGTGAAACATTGGCTCAGCATTTGTTCATCAGGTTCCTACTGGTATACAGCGTTAACTGTCAATATTTACTTGTTGGCGAGACTGCTGTTTATACACTAACAACAGCTGTGACAGCATTAAATGGCAGTGTAATGTAAAACAAGGGTCGGCAACCTATGCCCCTGTGTATCAGACTTAACAGGCACAACGATTTTCATTGGCATGCGGAAGACCAAACAAAATAATTATAAATGACTAAAAGTGTATCTTAAATGGAAGACTTATTGCTTATTGGCATCCTGAATGAATGAGAAGTCTTACTTTGGGGCACTGAATTAATTAGAAGTCTTACTTTGGTATGTTAAATGAATTAGAAGTCTTATGTTGGCATGCTAAATGAATTAGAAGTCTTACGTTGGCGTGCTGAATGAATCAGAAGTCTTACTTTGGCACGCTGAATGAATTAGAAGTCTTACTTTGGCTAGCTATATCAAAAGGTTGCAGACCCTTGATTAATTTTTTTAAATTTAAAATGTTTTGAAATGAAATCCAACAGTTGCACCTGATGCAATTAACACCTGCCCGATGGTTGTGAATAAATGTGTCATTCGCGGGGTCCGATGGATGCATCAAGTGCGTCCCGGACACACCTCTCTCATTTCTATTTAAAAATAACCTCGAAATCTCATGTCCCTCAAGACTTCCAGTTATGGAATGATTTGAATTTAAAAACCAGCAGTTTTTATCTTGTCTCACTTTAATTTTTGTCAATTTTTAGTATGGTGCGTCTATATAGAGCATATGTTGGTCATTGTTAATTATTTTTTTGCTGTTAAAATTATATTTTTATTAAACCTTATTCATTTCGGGATGCATTTATCCTTAATTCATTAATTTTATGTTATATTTTTCAGCTTAACAAATATTTTATAAATGTAAATCAATTGCAAAATAGGAGTTACTTCCTTTTCTCAGGAATATAAATTAAGTACAGAAGTAGCCATTACATTGAGATTGAGTTAATTTCAGATACTCAAATTGAAATTTCTAAACATGATTGCATCATCAATTTTCCTAGCCTGCAGCAAAGAAATTCAGAATTAAGTAAAAAAGGGTCTAGGTCATAATGATTCATTAACTTTTATGTTAACATTTTGTTTTATTTAATTACATTTGATCATTGCTTCTTGTGTTCACCTGTCCAGAGCATACCCAAGTTGACTTTCCCTGGTGGCTGTCTCATTGGCTGTAGTCCAGGGTTCCTCAATCTGCCCAAGATAAAAGGAATCCACAATGCCATGAAGAGCGGTTTGGTAGCCGCTGAAGCTGTCTACGACACAATAACAGATGAAAAACAAGTGTCCAGCTCCAAAACTGTTGGTGAGATTCTGTGAGGAAAGTGTGCAGCATAGAGCATGTAGAAGCATATTCAACAATGAAAAAAAATTCTCACAAAAATGTCTTCTACATTATTCGCTTCATGCTTGACTTTTAACAGTCTTATATCTTCAGGTTTAGAACCAGTCTCCTATGAGGAGAGAATGAGGGCAACTTGGACATGGGCTGAGCTGAAATCTGTTAGGAATGTAAGGCCATCTTTCCACACACCTCTAGGACTGTACAGTGGCTTGTTATACACTGGAGTTGTGTATTATCTGTTGAGAGGCAAGGAACCATTCACGTGGTCCAATGGAAGTATGTGACAATGTGTCGAGTTACTCTTTTGTAAAACATCTCTAAAAATTTTGTCAACTTGATATAACTGGGTTTTTTTTGCTGGCATATTTTTCTTTCTTGAATTGTTAAAGGGCTGCGGTAATTAACATGGTTATTATTATCTCAATGCTTATTCACTCGTTAGTAAAAAACAAAAATAATCATTACATTGTTTAAGATTTTACTCCTACTTTATGGGAGCTCATACTCAAGAGTAATTTAGAACATCTGTACATTTTAAAATGTAAGCTAATTTCATATTCACAAAAATGGTTTTCTAAATTTTCTTGAACCCAATGCTAAAATATTAGAGATGTTTTTTTTTCCCTTTTTATAAAATGTAAACAGTGCCCCTTGTAAGTTTTGTTTACCAACCTCAGTTCCAGACCATGAGAGGATGAGGCCTGCCAAGGAATGCAAGCCCATCACCTACCCAAAGCCTGATAACGTGGTCACCTTTGACCTGTTGTCTTCTGTGGCCTTGACCGGCACCAACCATGACCACGATGAGCCCCCCCACCTGACATTGAGAGATGACAGCGTACCCATGGCCAGAAACTTTGCCATCTTCGACGGACCCGAGCAGAGGTTCTGTCCAGCTGGTGAGCTCAGTCTTTCACCCTTGAGTTGCAAGATCATGATCCTAGATTGATGATATGCTTCATGTTCACATAACTACTGTGAAATTAATGTACTTCCATGGGTTGTATCAGAACAGGCTTATATAACTATTGTGACATGATTTAACTGTCATTCATTGTATCAGGTCTTGCAATTATTTTCATTTGTAGATTCAGAATTTGTGTTGCTATCGCACTTTAGAAGATCAAATGAATATGGTTAAATCATCAGAGTTCCCTTTGAATTAATCCCATGTCTACAGTTTTTCCACTTTAAATAGATTTTCACTTTTTTTTTAAAGTAATTGAATTTTAATAATTTATTCAATACTTAAATATGGAAATATTTTGTTTTTAAAAACAACAAAATGAACAGAATTAGAAATGCAGTTAGAATAGTTCATTGTCATTTTATCTCCAGCAGTCATATAGGTCAATGCAGATTTTAAATATTAAAATATTAGGTCTGTTTTTTTGTTTGTTTTTTTGTTTTGTTTTTTTAGTTAAAGATAGTTGGCTATTGTTTCAGCTCTCATAAATTATTGTTTAAATTTGATATTAATTAATGCTGAAAATTTTTTGTCATTTCCAGGCGTATATGAGTATGTTGAGAAAGAAGATGGCAAGGGCCATAGGTTACAGATCAATGCCCAGAACTGCATCCACTGTAAGACCTGTGACATCAAGGACCCCAGCCAGAACATCAACTGGGTGTGTCCGCAAGGAGGGGAAGGCCCCGCCTACAACGGCATGTAACAGTTACAGATGTTGAACTCTGCTAATGTTTGTTGTGATCAGCTCCCAGGGATAAATTTTTACAATTAGCTCAGTTAATTTTCTGCTATGTAGAAAATGTTTGCTTGAAATGGTCTTAAATGTTGCAGCTGATTGTTGTTGTTTTAAAGGTTTTTATAACAGTGGGGTGTGTTCTTTAAATGAAAGCACCGGTACCATATCTTGGATTTTGAAAATAAAGACATTCTATTGATCAGGTCATAATATTAGGGAGGTTTATTTATAATCTATGCAAAATTTATTTCTTACCACCAAATATATTCGTGTGAGCCAGCCATATTATATTTAATTGTATTTATTTTTGTTATTTTTAAAATCCAATATCGATGCTCCTGCAAATTTTCTAGCCCCAGCCCTCTTATGTTTTGGTACAAATGAGAATCTTCAGCTCTGTTCAAATATCAGTTATCCTCACTTTTTCTGTATGAATCAAAACCACGTCAGCAGTAAACTTCAAATGTGGCACAGTAACCAAGAAAATAAATGGTTGTCATATACCCTGGCATATTTCCCTGAAAGCACTCAAAGTGTACCTTAAGTAATTTGGACAGGAATGTGTTAAGATATTCTTATTGTCTTAAAATTTTTGCATACTTATACATTTGTCAAGAAACCCGCTCCCCTGTGACAAAAATTGTCCTGATCTGACCTATTTCAAATGCACTTTGGTGCTTGTAAAGATTGAATTGTCCCGTGTCATTTAGTAAGGGGATAAACAATAAATATAAATATTTCTAAGTATTTTCCAATTTGTAAAATATCCCTCAAAGCCTGTTATTTGCATGATTCAAAGTCCAGCCAATCAGAGCTGAAATTGTAATCAAGTTTAATTACTTTTTTTAAGACGGATGAAAAGAAAAAGTCTACTCTGGATGCACACAACACAACTCTCAGAACAAAATTGTCACCCCAGTTGAAATGTCATTCATATTTTCACAATCAATGTCAATTGTTCATCATTAGTAAGACGAGAAGTAAAATATTGTGTCCATTCTGGTGGATAGATGGTGATTTGAAAGAAAACAAAAATCACTGTTTGTTTTAAAATTGAAGTAAATTATTATTATAACCTAATTGCCAAAGTGTCCTTTCATAATTATTAATTTGTGAAAATAGTTCAAACGCAAACTCTTGCCATTTTTCTAAAGAGCCCATTTATTGCTTCCTGCTGATAGGGATGCCAGGTGTCCAGTTTTGAAGCTGACCTGCCTGGCATTTCAGCAGCCTGTCTCAGAATAGCATGTGGAGCTGCCCACTGTCTTTTTAAAAGGTATATAGCAGCCCTTCCTGCAGATAACATTTTTTTTTTTTTGTGTGGTGGGAAGTTTTGGGGGTTTTTTTTGTGTGTGTAACTTTTTTTCACTCTCAGCTAACTGAAAGGTGCAACTTTTATCTAATTTGTACATTTTGATCTTCTTTTATAAAGGTCCGTTTAAGAGCAGTTGTGTGATAATTAATTTCATCTTATTATTTGTTTATCATAAAGTTGAACATTGCTTTGTAATTGGTTTGCTTTACTTGTAAGCGTCATTGTTGTTTTATTAAAAACTTTTGGGACTCGCCTCATGTTTTTACTACACCATTTCCAGCTGAATAAACTAGTAACTCACAAAATGTCTGTAGATTTCATTTGTCCAGGTGTGACACAGAGAGGTAAATCAACAACATGTTAAAAAAAAATATGAAGCCCAATAAATGTTAACAATTCACTTGATGGTGCATGAATTAAGAGATTTTTTATGTGCTACATAAATTTTCATCCTCTTTCACCACTGCAAAAGTGTGTATGGTCGTGACCTTTCAACTTTAGCTTTAAGAAAGGTCTATTTTTATCCTATGAGTTTTACCCTATTGAACAGTGCCTGCATTTCATTGTTTGTTCCTTTGAGAGCTAATTTGTCACATTTTTCAAAGCAGAATCTGATTGTGACAAGCATTTTCTACTGCACATAAAGAGAACATCAATTCTTGTGAAGATTTAATAAAACCCTATGAGTTCTAAATGGTAATAGAAGGAATTTGATTTTTTTTATTGTGTTTGCAAACATTTGCCTAAAAGATAAAATCTCCTATTGACAAGTTTAATGGTCACAATGAAATGTGTCATGGTACATGTATGAATGACCTATGACCTGTTATGTACTGTACTTGAAATTGAGTTGCTTGGCTGGCTGCTTATGATCATTTCCTGTTGATTTTAACAGCTTCATTTAGATAATAAGCCACACAACATTCTTGCTACAAAATGTGAAACTAGTCTGGATTTTTAACTGCTTACGCTTTATTTTTGTATTTGGCTAACTAATACTTCATTTTTTAAAGACTTTTTAATTAATTGCAAAAAAAACTATTGAATTGTCTTTTATTTGTTAATATGATTACTCTATCACTGGGGGGGGGGGGTAATCCTAGGCCCCATAAATATTTACCAGTCAATGTTTAACTTCCTAACATTGTCACTTAGTTTTTTTAAATTGAGACTACCTTTGTGAAAGTGATACCTTTAATATCATTGTGAAAATGGTGAATATTCTTTTCAATATTTTTTGGAAAATCTTCAACGGATGCCATCAACGGACTCTGCAAAACAAATAATTAGAATTATTTGACCAATAGAAAAATATGACAATTTTTAAAAGGTTAATGTCCCTTATTATGCTTTGTATCTTAAGGTCGACATTTTGTTTTAAAGGTCCATCATATTTAAATTATGTTGAGAATTGTTAAACTATTTTAAAAATCAAAAGATTGTAAATGTTCATGTGACACGTTTCTTTGGATACTTTGTAATGGGACTCAGTAGTCACTGTCAATGAAAACTGGAACAGGCTTGTCTCTATCAATGAAAAAATGGGACACAGTAGTCACTGACAATGAGAAATATAACACAGCAGTCACTAAATATGAAAACTGGGACATAGCGGTCACTGACAATGAAAACTAGGTTAAAATCATCTTATATGTCTTGGGCCTGAAATGCCTTGTCTAATTGAGTTAATGCATGATATTGATAATAATTGTGAAAGAGATATTTGTTTAAAAGGAGAAAACAATACGACAAGACACATATATTTGACTTATGTGAACAAATTGATGTGTATGCCGTCAATTGAAATTTATTAAATATCAAGTCTCCCATGAGAAAAAAAGGTTAAGACATGACGGATATGATTTTAATTGCGATTGGGTGCTCTAGCTAATTTTAAAGTAATTGTATGTGTTTCTAATTAAGATTACATTGTATTTATTATTTAGTTACTTGATTGCAATGACTGTTAATCAAGTTTGTTTTTACTGTTAAATATGTGAAGCATTATAATGATGTTATCAAATATACAAGTCGACTTGTGTGTTTTATGTATTTTTTACTGCATTGTTTTAATTCTTATTTTCCTCTATAACTTAATGTTGAGATTTAAAGCTTGGTAGGTGTTCCGCATGTGTGAACTTATGACCATTTTCTGTTAGGCACAGTTTTTTACATATCATTCATTAACTTTAAATTGTTGGGTGTCGTGTAACTAATTTAAAAGTATTTTAACTATTCAGCACCAGCACCGCTTACAAGCATCGGTCAAAGACCACTAAAGGCGTCTCAAACCCTAGCTGTTCCAGTAGGTGTACGTGCAGGGCAATGTTGTCCTCCTTCCCACCAAGAGTTATCGGGTTTGAGTTCTTCTGGGGGTTTTCCCCAGCCTTGAGTAAATAGCCAAGTTGAATGAATTTGTCAGCTTAGTGATTGGGCATGTGAGGAAGCTACCCCGCTTCCACTTGCCTTTTAAGAGAAAATTAAAACCTCAACCACACGCAACTGCAGTGGGTCTCAAACATTTAACTTTAAGTGGCCCAAAGTTGTGATGTGGACAAAGGGGGCACCAAACCTAAAAGTGGCAGGGTCCTCAAAACGTTACCTCGACAGCTCTGCATCAGCATTACATCATCGGATTCTACCCAAAAATTTATATATTTTATTACTGCTCCAATTTCAGTGTATTCATTTTTTAACTTTAGTTTATGCTAAGTTGTTTGGGTGGGTTGGGGGGGGGGGTTCTTTAAATAGTAAACCCAATTTAAAAAATTTCTTGGATGGATGATTTAACAGTGCGTGACATGTATCAGTTCAAAGCTTTTATTTACGCCAGCATATTTCTTAAGCCCGTTTAGCCACAAGTTCATTGTTTGATCATGGTTCTAGCAGAGGAGAAATTCCCAACGCGTGAGCATAAATCCCAAAATGATGCAAAAATTCCCATGACTACTTAATAAAAAGTTCCGCTGTGGGGTACATGGACCCCTGCAGGAACACCAATCACTAAACTTCATGAAAGGCAGATAGATGGCAGATGAAGTTTACAAGGAAGTTTACAAAGCAATTCATTCACAGATTTTTCCCCAAAAATCGTGTAATTTATTTTTATCATCGTCGCTACGAACTTTAGGTTGCAAAAAAAAAACAAAAAAACTCTGTTTTTATCGCACTTGTTCGAAAATGCCACCTCTAAATATATATTTTTTTAACTGGGGCGGGCTAGTAAAAAGTCGATTTGGCACACGACTCACACGTAGTCTTTGTGGAGTACGTGGGAGTTTAGAGCTTAATTCACTATTGAGGAAATGTCTAAAGTCGAATTGGTGCCAAACCAACCCCCCCTCCTCCCCTCCATGTTGACGTCCGGGATAAGTGCCCTTTCAGCCACCTCCTCGCATGAACCCGGTGTTACAAATCTAACATAACCCACACAAAGAAAAACAACAAAACTAATACCATACAAGTCTAATGTGTGAGTATCTATAAAAATAAAATTATTTTCTTTTTCAAAATGCCATTACCATATTTAATTAAGTAAGACGTTTCAAGACCCCCCCCCCCCCCAAATTTCAATATCTCAAAAACCCAATTGTTACAGATTTTAACTTTGGTTTAATGATTCTCATCAAAACATCCATGGCTTGCGTGCATCACGTGATATATCATTGCATTGTTGATTTCTGAATCGCGAAAGTAGCAATGCAAGTTTCAAGGTTGATGCGTCAGAAATGAGATGACCCTATAATTGGGTCAGAAAAAACAGCGTTTTCAGCCATGATTCAAACCCGATTGAAGTGTTCGGTAATTTTCGTGAGTGACAGGAAGCTGTATTTAGCTAATGGAGTAGCTATAGGTACCCTATAGCAGCAATTGGCTATTCGGACCCGGCTGGTCACGTGAGGGCTTTATAATTTCCGGTTGGTCACGTGACGGTTATGACGGATACTTCATGTTGGTTTGACATCTTAGTTAGAGTTAGAGCCATTATTATCAATTGAGAAATGTGCGATATTTTGAAGACTTATGCAGCATTGAAGAAACACGAAGAATGTGACATACAGCTAAAAGCAAGTAAGAATACGTTATAATTTTATTGTATTTTTTAATTCTATTTTAAATATAGTTCTATAATCATTAACATGACATCAAGGAAGATTCAAGATCAAAGTTGCATTTTTTTTGGGGGGGGGGGGGGGGCAAATCGGCTACTGACTTATCTGTAATTGTAACGAAAAGTTTGGCTGCGGCTATTCGGACCCGGTATCAGAAGTGGATACTTCAATTTTAATTCACCACAAAAATTATTATTATTCACACTTCCCATAAAACAAATGTTCCTTTGAATAAAAAATTCGGAGAGATCAGCCCGGTGGCCGCCATCTGCAATTCTTGGTTATCGTGACCCACGAACTTATGAAGTTATGTCCTAAATGTATCCCTAAACTAACCTGAACCCTAAAAGTATCTCTAAACCTAACATGAACCCTAAAATGTATCCCTAAACCTGATCAATCTGAATTAGCCTTAAAAAAAATTTAATTAAAAAATTATACATTATTTCACATTTTGAAAATAAAAACATACTTCTTTAAAGGTCCTATGCTACTGTAGTGGCCAAAATTGAACAATATCGTCTAGAATGGCGTTGAAGACATAAAAACCAGTTACTATAACACGTTGATGCCACATGTCCACGTGTGTGCCATTGTGGCGCTTGTTTCTCTCTTTTGAAGATTTCCACAAACGCTCGATGCTTTGGGTATTGGCTATTGGCACCTGAGTTTGGATAAAAAAACTTAACAGGATGAATGACCGTTTGATGGGTCAATCCCTGAGTGGTGCCAATTGCATTATGCTCTCCATTGATCTGACATGACTGTTGTGCCCAGCAGGATGTGTGCTGTGATTATCGGCATAAGTGTAATGTGTAGCTGCTGATCTATCTTGTACACAAGCCCTTGGGGTACTTTTCGGTTGCTTCAGACAGAGTGGTCCTTTTCACCATTGTGCATCCAATTATGGTTTATTTGAGCTGGGTGTTACTGAGAAAGTTGTCTGCATACTTATTAGTTATTATTATTCTCTCTCACAAACATTTTAATGATATATTGTGTAAAAATTAGCATAAGTACTCAAATGGGGTGCTTATCCCATGAGGCTTATTTAACAGCTCTATTTTTTTTCTAAAAATTCATAGGGGTCATCTCTATCCAATTCAGAACCCCTAATCCTAATCCAAGGATTCACAACATTATTGTAAACATAATCATTTTGATTGTCTTCATTACTTTCCTGATTGTTTTCGTCAGTGTCAGATTCACTGCTAGACAGCGAGAGATCAAGAGGGTTAACAAAAAAGCTTTCGGGTGACCAACAATGGTGCTAGTACATGAATTTCAAATATCCTTAGTCCAAAGTTTCCCAAGCGTTTTGGAGTCACAGCACCGTTGCTGCACCCTCGTATTTTCAATTTTGCTCTAAGCCACATTCTTTGTGCACTCTAAAATAGCACGTTTTAAACAATCTAATCCATTTTTGAAGCCTTATACTTATACAAGAAGACATGCCTCATTAAAACTTCACTTGACTCTATCAAAACAATATTTAATTGATACAGCATAGACGCTGCACAAAACCAACTGCTACTTTAATAAGTACAGAGTACCAAGACTTATACTTATACAAGAAGACATGCCTCATTAAAACTTCACTTGACTCTATCAAAACAATATTTAATTGATACAGCATAGACGCTGCACAAAACCAACTGCTACTTTAATAAGTACAGAGTACCAAGTAGGTTGGAGAACTAGTGAAAAATACCAACTTAATTATAAATGGCTTGCATTAAGTCCATTAATTTTTTAACATTTCAGGTTGCAGCAGGACACAGTCTGGGAGCCTCTGCCCTAGTCAATTACATGCCATAATAAACACATATCTTAACATTTAGTATCTTGATCCTTTGAATGCACTTTATATAAAGATAAATCCTGCAAGTGCATGTAAATAATATCAAAAGACTGTATTGGAAGGGTTAGTTTCACCGATTAGGTTAGAGTAAAGTCTTGCACATTCCTAATTTAGTTAAAATTAGATAAAAATCACTAAAAAAATATAAATTTCCTTTTGACATATTGAGTGCATTTTTGCTGTAAAAGAAATAATTAAAAAATGCAAAAGAGCTATTCAGGCGGATTGCTTCTCATATTTAGATTCATCTGTCGCTATAGCATACATTTTTTTGGTTAAAATCTTAGTAGTAGTAATAAAGAGTTACATCTTGCAGGTTAGAATAATATTACCATTGATCTGTGACAAAAAATTGTATTTAAATTTTTAAAGATTCTCTACTGTAATGCAGTTGTAGTTAAAATCTTGCACTGAGCTTTACGTGACCATTTTGAAGGTTTTCTTTTGTTCATTTAACACCACCTTCCCTAAGTCCAATAGTGGTTGGACTTTAACTATTTAATAGATTAAATAAACAAAGCTATTCAACTTTCCCTTAGAGAACCATGCAAACATGGCTGGTGTAAAAGCAATGATTACACCAAGTGTGATTAATTTTTTTGGTACTTTTTATGATGGTAACTTTCAGGTTAAAATTGTTCATAGGATATTGTCTTCATATTAATGCAAGCTTGCGCTCTAATATAATAAAGTTTCTGTCTTCTACTAATTAATGTATTATTTTACTTCCAGGTTAAAGTTGTTGTTTTCACAGAGATGACTTGAAGACCCCCATCACTGCCAGAATTCACAGCTGCTCTTATGATGAATGTGCAGGATGAATCATGACATGCCAGGACAAGACTGGTCAACATTTTACTTCAGGTAAATACAGTCCTTTTTATTCTATTTATTTTTCATTACGTATGCCACTAATTTTAAAAAAAAAATTGTTTTGGTTTTATTTTTGTACATTTTAACTTAATGCTTGATTTATCACACTGGGTAATAATCTTGAGGTAACTTGCCATTATTGGGATCTTGGAAATTTATTCC